ATAGAGGTGCAATAACCAGATAGTTAATTCACACAATATTACTCACAGCAATGCAATATTTAGAAAATTCACACAAAATTACCCACATCATTTGCAATATCCAGATATGGCATAATACTTTTATATGTGTCATACATACACACGACAAAAGAAAAGGGTCAAACATGATTACAATGACTTTGTGCAGAAATCATGTGTTGTTTACTTAATTTATACACCACTCATCACAGAGACAAACAATAGGACACTGGGTTACTGGTTGAAATTAATGCAATAATAATTAATAATAATAATAGTCACATAATATATTTCATTGGAAATATTGTAGACATGCCAGTATTTCTATCAAATGTTTATTTATGTATGGGTGTCTCAAAACAGCGTTTGCGACTGCAGTTGCGACTCGCCAAAGTGGTAGCAAAGGTGCTTTGCGACCTGAGAAAAGGCATTTTGCAACTTAATCGCAAAGTTCTTGTAGGACAGCGTTTGCGACAGTGTTAAACTTTCTTTTTATGGCCAATATTTATAGCAATGCTTTGTTTGGTTTCATTGCCACGCCAGCGAGTCATCACCATTTTGTTTTGTTTTTGCTGTTCCTTTTATTTTTACGTATGTTGTAAATTTCTCAGTAACTATGGTACTGTATGATTTCACGCGAAGAACACTGTCTGCGGTAATGTACATTCACGCCGAGAACAATTATCAGTGAGGCTCTGTCAGCAGTGTATAAACACCGATACGCCGACTGTGTAAAAGTGGCAGGAAAGTGTTGGAAGTGGCAGGAAAGTCTCGGTGGAAAAGTTCAGGCGGACGTTTGTGGCCTGGTTGGGGTCTAAGGCCGTGGGAGTGGTTGTTGCAAAAGGGGCCTACTGCGGGCACAGCAACCCAGTGAGTTTATTTCTGGGGCCCTGATGCAGACATTAGCATTTTATAGGGGCCTATTTGCCTCCTGCGCGGACCCGCTTTAGAAAGTGAAAAACACCCTGCTTCCCCGCTAAATTTGAAACGCACATAGGGTACTAACAACATATAGAATGCCCCTCCCCTATGACGCCTATGTTAAAACATCCTGTGAAATCCGACCCTGCCTACTCCGAACACCGATTGCATTGCTTGGTCCCAACTCCAATATTCACACTGAATACATCGAACATCCGACCAGTTGCATCACATCCGCTGTCTAGTAATCCGGTCTGTCCAACCTAAAAAGTGTGCATTGTGTTCAATTTACCGTGAACGTCATATACTAGTAAACAATACCGAATTTTACACTGCACTGAACGTCCCATATAAAACAACAGCACCAGATTAAAGACCGACATGGTATATAAACAGGCACAGGCAGAGTTATATTCAAATGAAGTCGCCCTCACCCACATCAACAATGGTGACAAAAGGCTCCACAAAAACACGAGGCGCCATGAATGTTCAGGGAGTAGACAGCTTATTTTCTCTGCCCGATGTCTATGAACGACCTCAACCCAAATTCAAAATTGCGTTGGAATCTAGTTGATACTTTGTAACAAGTTTCACTATAAATGAGAAACAATGTCGCCGCTGATGTTCTTTCGTCGTTGCGCAGCCTAGCCAAAATTCGAAGAAAAAACAAACAAGAAAACACAATCACTGGCAATGGCATGAACACGTAAATATGTGACGCAAAACTAACCATTTCCCGTATGATAAACGATAAAAAAATATTACGACCCGAAGATCGATCCAAGCCACTTATGCCTGTGAGGTTATGGAAGATAATACATGTGGGTCAAATCAGTAACTCTACACATAAATAAAAGATTAGGACTATCTACATTTAATGAACGATTGACAGTTGCTGTTGTTGAATAATCAGTCAAATTAGAATACTAAGCTCCGCCCAGCCCACAAGTAGTAAATGTCGGCCACATGCCCACGCATCGCGTTGTGTCTGGCAGTACATTTGTGTATGACCAAATGATTGGTGTCATCACCAGTCCCTATCATCGTGATTTTAGATATATTTTTACTCGTTATATACAAAAAAATAAAAAAAAGGTTGTTGCGGTTTTCCCCTACTATTAGGCTAGTTGGTACGCATTACGAAATTAGTTCAAATAGTAAAACAAAACAGTAACCCAAAACCCGAAGTGAAACTAGTTTGGGAAGCCATTCCATCTGCAGCACTTTGTTTTATCTCAGGGGACGTCGACTCTGGCAACTTTGGACTTTTATATAGAACCACTTGGCCGGAAAAGTGATCTCCACATACGATACTATTATGCGCTGTAAATGCATTAGGTTTAGACATTATAACGATTGGATAATTTGGAAAATTATTTACGACAAGATTTGATTTCAATGAATGTAGAATGTTTTTATTTCGTGTAGCGCGTCACCACGTGACAGATGATAAATGGCCATCGAATCATCGGCCCTTTGCTACTAGGTAGCAGCATGGTCCTACAAAAGCTTTGCGACCAAGTCGCAAAATGCCTTTTCTCAGGTCGCAAAGCACCATTGCTACCGCTTTGCCGAGTAGCAACTGCGGTCACAAACGATGTTTTGAGGCACCCATACGTAACTCAAATGTTACCACAAGTATTGAAAACAAAGACACCTTTGCAATATCTCTTATGTGCTATTGGTATTAAAATTAACAAGTCAAATTGATCAAAACTTAAAACACAGGTACATGTATGAGTCAGCCATTTTGAGTTTGAAACAAATGCATGTTAGTAAAAGTAAAGTGAAGTACAATGTATTTGTAAAGTTTGATTGCAGTCAAGGTATGACAGAGTCATGGCTCTAGAATAGCATTCATTAATATAAAATTTCTGTCATTTAGCCATTCCAATCAGAAATAAAAAATTTCCAAGAATTGAGGCAAACTACAGATTGTGTACAAAATGAAACACAGGTATACTGTAGAAGATGAATAACATTTCATCCTTGACTGTTGCCTCTTCACTCAAGAAAGAAATACCCTCTTAGAAGACTGTAAATTAAAAATGTGTAGTACAGCTAACCGAATTTAATATTCACTTGCATTATAAATAGTAGTACTACACTTGCAAAATACTTAAAAAATACAACTTATTAAACCTAATTGTAATACGTATTTTATATATATCCTTTGTTTTGTTTGTAATTTTGAAACTTTTGTTGTTTTTTGTGTTTGTTTTTTCTGATCTGTATCATTACCGTACAGCGCCCACCGATGGTGCAGTTGTGTAATAAAGTTATTATTATTATTATTATGGTCCCATTATGCTCAATGTATGTACCATGAGTGAACTTCAGAACCGGGTTTGTAATGGCAAAAATGCTTGATTTTGACGAATTTTTAACATTAGAATCGCTGTAATTCAGCCATCTTTAATTTGATTGTGAAACAATTGCATGCACATAATGTGTGACATATAAGTTAACTTGATGGTACATGAATATTATTGGAACAAGCCATGCATGGCACAGTCCTCGTTAGTTATCGAATTTAAGATATATAGTTTTGTTTATAGTAATATAGCTGGAATATAACCATGTCAGAAATATGATTACATTTGTATCTGATCGTCAAACGAGTATTGAGAGATATTGCTCTGGAACAGCATTAATTAAAATAAAATCATCCATTTTGAATACATGTATAATGAGTATATAAAATTTGAACATAGTCAGTCAAAGCATGTCAGAGATATGGCTCCAGCCCAATATGGCCACTAGTCAGCCATTCTGAATCCGATCTAAAAAATAAAAGAACGTGCTGGGAAATGCTTGATTTTGATGATTTTTAGAACAAAAATGGTCGCTCAAGAATACATCTCTAAATCTGTTCCTCAAATTATTCTATTAACCAAAATCTAAGTGTAGCCTTTTGCATACATTACCTGCTACGGCTTGCATAATAGGCTTCACACCTTCTGACCAGTCTTGAGAAAGTAATTGGTACACAGACGGGAACTCCCTTAACCACATTTTCTGTCCTATCCTCCAGATATCATTCAGCTCTGGAGTACCCTATGAAAAAACAGGATTCATATAAACTTGAATACAGTTCCTTACATTCCTGGCCACAGGAGTGAGGAATCGCCAATGTGGATCAAATTGTTCACAGCCTAAATATATGATGTACATTTGTGTAAAAGTTTGCAAAACATTCTCTAGTTTGATATTTGTATATCAGTGTCTATATGTAGATGTACATCACAAGTCAAACATCAACAACAGACAGGTATCTGATGTTCCACAAATGTGTTTGTTAGCAACAAATGTACCGGTATTTGCAATGTGCAGTTCTTGTTTTGTACTTCATCTTAAAGACCATAAACATATACAATTCTATTGTGTTTTGTAAAGTGAGTAATACAAGTTGTTTTTGAGTGTATCCCATGGTATTTTTCAATGTGGAGATACACATGTTATGCATGTGACAATGAATATCATGTTTATAGCAAGAAAATGTCAACATAATAGCACAAATTATTAGTATATAATTCCTATACATAATTACTGTGATTCATAAAATGACATAAAGCACATATTCTGTGTTCAATCTGAAAACTATACATATTCAAGAATAAACAAGCCATGCATGGCACAGTCCCTGTGTTAGTTATCAAATTTAAGATATATAGTTTTGTTTATAGTAATATAGTTGAAACATAAACATGTCAGTATCTGATCGTCAAACGAGTACTTGTCCATACTGAGAAATATTGCTATGGAACAGCACTAACTAAAACCAGTCGTTTATTTTGAATACATCTATATATCTATTACATGATGTAAAACGAATATATATAAAATTTGAACATAATCAGTCAAAGCATTTCAGAGAAGTGTAATCATTTAAACAAAATGGCCGCCAGTCAGCCAATCCAATCTGAAAAACATAATGACGTGCATCAGGAACCCATAATCTCTAATGTACATGTACCGGTATGTTCAAGTTTGAACAAAATCTATTCATAATTGCCAAGATCCAGTTCTGTAATGCCGGAAATGCTTGATTTTTGATTATTTTTTAGCACAAAAATGGCTGCCATTTTGCATCAGATAGTCAAATCAATATATCGATGTCATGATGTATAATGAATATAATGTCATGTCATGATGTATAATGAATATAATGAATATAAAATTTGAACATAATTAGTCAAAGCATGGCAGAGATATGGCACTAGAACTGCATGAAGGTAGAGATGCAGGTTCGTGGGCACTTGGAAGTGAAATTATTTTTTTTTTACTTTTTATTATCCAAACAATCTTGGCTATAGACTGTTAAAATTTTGTAGAATTGTGAATAGTGGAACATACTCAAAAAAACGATTTTAAAATATAGATAACAGGTGCAAACATTCTCTCTTTTGAATACTTAGCAAGATTTAGCAAGGCTGTACATAAATAATAAAAAAGAAACATGGTGAAAAAAAGAAATGACGGGATCTCCGTATTATGCACTATATTTAACTTTTAAAAAAATGATAATACATTTAAATTTGGAACTGTTACAGCCATTTTAATTATGAGCATTAGCAAAATTCTTACTGAGTGAATTGTTATGCAAATTAGCAATTATCTCAGCTTCTTTTTAGTGCACATCCCAGAATTTTAAAAACAAGCAGCCTATCAGCTGAGATAGCTCCGCTGTTAGCATGCACATTTCAATTAAAGAACTGAAGACATCATTAGAAAATGAACAATATTTATAGTATCAAAGCAATCAGACTTACAGTTTTTAACAAGAAGTCGAAAATATCACTTTCTACCAAAAATAACAAAAATATTCACCAAAATTAGAGAATTGAAGATATCATCACGAAATGAACAAATCTGAGAAAGGTCTACATGTAGTATCTATATATGTAGTATCAAAGCAATTGGACTTGCAGTTTTTAACAAGAAGTCGAAAATATCACTTTTTACAAAAATGACAAAAATATTCATGAAAATTAGAGAATTGAAGATATCAACATGAAATGAACAAACCTAAGAGAGGTTTACCCAAGGTACATATACACCAAGTATCAAAGCATTCAGGCTTGTAGTTTTCAAGAAGAAGTCGAAAAAGTAAAACATTGACACAGACGACAACGGACGAGACGGACAATCACTCATATGATAAGCTCCGCTCGACAAAGTCAACAGCGGAGCTAAAAATAGCTCCTAGATGCTTTGACCTTTTGTTTTGAAATTTTCACAAATGATTGACAATGTGTTTATCTTCAAAACGCCGTCGCATTGTTTTTGATTCAACAGTGTTACTAGCCTGGGTGTTAATTTATGCATAAACTTGAAGAGGTGAAATTTGAGCTGCTGCCCTGCAAAATTGACAACTGGTAGACTGTTTTCAAGATGGCACTTTCTTCATAGTAAACAGATGTACCCATAAACCAATTTTGACAAGACACAGAAACATGGTTTAGAAACTAATTTTTTTTAAATCACTTTTGACCAAAAAAGCACATTTTTGTGCATATTTCAAACTAGTGTCCATAAAAAAAAAATACTAACAACATTTTAAAATTCATACAATAAGCTTTCTGAAAATATATAGTTTTGTGGACAAGAGAGGTCATCTTGGTTTCCTAATTAACTAATTAAAATACCTGTCAGATAAACTGCATCTCTACACACATGTACCTCAATTAAAGCAAAATGGCCACCAGTCAGTAATTTTAAATCCGATCTAAAAAATAAATTGATGTACATCAAGGTCCCATAATGTCCAGCGTATGTACCAAGTTTAAACAAAATCCATTTATAAATGCTTGATTTTGATGATTTTTTTATCACAAAAATGGCCACCATTCGGCCATCTTGTGCATATGTATAATATCATGTATGATGTATGTGGGAAGTTTAATTGTGATTGGTCCCGGCATGTCGATAATACAGGTCCAAACGCACACATGGACACACAGACGCATGAATGCACGTATGCGTGAATGAACAAACGCATAAGGATCAAACATAAGTTACTGTTTCGAACTGCATCTGAGTCTGAACTATAAGTATCCAAACAGGAACTACTAATTCAGAACTAGTCATTGCTATTCCTGATGAGTATAAATTTCTCTTTATCAGATGAGGGATTAAATACATGTAAATGTGAAAACATAGTATCCTCTCATCTGTGTAAAGTTCATCATCAAGCATATTACACATACATGTAGGGCATTTTCTGCCCCTGACTTTAGTAACATGTATTAAAGAATTATCTACACTTACAACTTTTATAGGTTGAGGAATCCGCTTCCAGAGAAATTTAGCATTTGTCCTGAAACAATGGTGAAAAACATTAACTATAACTGAAGTAAAATAATAACAAGTAATTACACATGTATTTTTCATTTCAAAATTCACATGAGTCACATGAATCATGTCCTGTGATGGTTCCTAAATGGCAGAAATATATTTTAGCGCAAGCTGCCATATGGCTATTTTGAAAATAACAAAAATATTTACCAACAATATAGAATTTACTGTTATCACCAAACGAACAAATCTGATAGAGGTTAACGAAGGTATATCAAGTATCAAAGTAATCAATCAGCAGTTTTCAAAAAGTCATAAATGTAATTGTTGATTATGTTCTTTCTGACAGTAGTGAATTATAAACATGTACTATTGACACAACAAATCCACTCTTATTTATAAATATTTATAAATTTCGAAATTCTATTGTTTAATGAAATGACGAAAAACATCATCATTCATCATTGTGCACTACACTCATTGATTGGCTGGTGGGATTCAACTTCCAGTAAAATTTATAGACAAACAAATGTATTGCACAAAAGTGTATTAGGACAAAAATGTGTTGTTGGAAAAAAAGTGAATTGGGACAAAAGTATATTGGAACAAAAGTGTATTGGACAAAAGTGTCATGGAACAAAAGTGCATTGGAACACAGGCCATGCATGACACAGTCCCCGTTAGTCATCAAATTTAAGATATATAGTTTTGTTTATACACAAATGTAGTAATATAGCTGGATTAAAAACATGACAGGAATATGATTATGATGATTGTTTAACATTTAAATGATTGACATTTGTATCTGATCGTCAAACGAGTATTGAGAGATATTACTTTGAAACAGCATTAATTAAAACAAAATCAGCCATTTTGAATACATGTATAATGAATATAAAATTTGAACATAGTCAGTCAAAGCATGTCAGAGATATGGCTGTAGAAGCCCATTCATTAAAACAAAATGGCCACTAGTCAGCCATTCTGAATCTAATCAAAAAATAATGTGCATATGGAACCAGTAAAGTCTAATGTATGTACCAATTTTGAACAAAATCCATCCATACATGCCAGGAATGCTTGATATTTGATGATTTTTTAACACAAAAATGGCCACCATTCGGCCATTTTGAATAGGATCGTCAAACCAATATATCTGTATATCTATGACATGATGTATAATGAATATTTAAAATTTGAATATAATCAGTCACAGCAAGTCAGAGATATGGCACTAAAACCACATCATTACAACACAATGGCCGCCAATTGGCCATTTTGAATCTTATCTGAAAACAAAATGATGTGCACCAAGGTTCTATAATGTCCAACGTATATAAATATATGAACTAAATCCATTTGTAAACTGCCGAGAAATGCTTGATATTGATGATTTTTAGAACAAAAATGGCCGCCAATTTGTCCATCTTGAATCAGATCGTGAAACAAATTGATGTGCATATGTATAATATCATGTATGATGTTTGTGTGAAGTTTGATTGTGTTTGATCCAGGCATTTCTAAGATATAGTTCCGGACGCACATAAGCGCGGAAGCACGGACGTACAGAAGTCAAAACACAAGTCCCCGTTTTCAGACTGTGTCTGAACGGGGACTAAAAAGTGTGTTGGGCCAAAAGCATATTGGACAAAAGTGTATTGGGACAAAAGCATATTGGGACAAAAGTGTATTGGGACAAAAGCATATTCGGACAAAAATATATTGGGACAAAAGCATATTCAGACAAAAGTATATTGGGACAAAAGTTTATTGGGACAAAAGTGTGTTGGGACAAAAGTGTGTTAGGACAAAAGTGAACAAAAGTGCATTGGGACAAAAGTGTATTGGGACAAGTATATTGGGGAAAACGAGTGTTGCGACAAAAGTATATTGAGACATTGGTTTGTTGGTACAAAAGTGCATTGGAACAAAAGCGTATTGAGCAAAAGTGTATTGGGACAAAGGTTTTTTGGACAAAAGTGTATGGGAAAAAAAGTGTATTGAAACAAACGTTTTTTGTGACAAAAGTGTATTGGGACAAAAGTGTCTTGTAACAAAAGTGTAATGGAACAAAAGTGTAATGGAACAAAAGTGTATTGGGACAAAAGTGTGTGGGGACAAAAGTGTATTGGGACAAAAGTGTATTGGGACAAAAGTGTATTGGGACAAAAGTGTATTGGGACAAAAGTGTATTGGGACAAAAGTGTATTGGGACAAAAGTGTCTTGGGACAAAAGTGTCTTGGGACAAAAGTGTATTGGGAGAAAAGTGTATTGGGACAAAAGTGTATTGGGACAAATGTGTATTTGGACAAAAGCGTATTGGAACAAAAGTGTATTGGAACAAAAGTGTATTGGAACAAAAGTGTATTGGAACAAAAGTGTGTTAGGGCAAAAGTGTATTGGAACAAAAGTGTATTGGGACAAAAGTGTGTTAGGACAAAAGTGTATTTGGACAAAAGTGTATTGGGACAAATGTGTATTTGGACAAAAGTGTATTGGGACAAAAGTGTATTGGGACAAAATTGTATTGGAACAAAAGTGTATTGGGACAAAAGTGTGTTGGGACAAAAGTGTATTGGGACAAAAGTGTATTGGGACAAAAGTATGTTGGGACAAAAGTGTATTGGAACAAAAGTGTATTGAGACAAAAGTGTATTGGGACAAAAGTGTATTGGAACAAAAGTGTATTGGGACAAAAGCATATTGGGACAAAAGTGTATTGGAACAAAAGCATATTCGGACAAAAGTATATTGGGACAAAAGCATATTCAGACAAAAGTATATTGGGACAAAAGTTTATTGGGACAAAAGTATATTGGGACAAAAGTGTGTTGGG